AAAGAACCTGTGTACCTGTTGCTGTATTAAATCGCACTTGAATGCATTGTTCCTACCCTTGATAGTGTGAAATGTGTTCATCTGATTCGTGTCAATATGGAACAATCCTAGGGCCACGTGCTATGATGAAATGTGACCTTCTGTCTTTCACACCCTTGTATAACCACAAGTCTAAGAAAAACAGGGTGGTTAATGCTCTGGTTCTTGTATCTTACAAAGGAATGTTCCAGCAATTCGTGTCAATAGGTAATAAGAGAACAAAGGGGTTTCAGAATAACTGCTACCTATTATGACTATTGCATGGGACATTATGCAAGTCATGATATCTGGCCAGGAGATTAAGGAGAAGGGGAAAGCTGAAGGATGACTCAAAGACAAAGCTTGCAGGGGACGCTGCAAAAGTCTCTGACATCCGGCCAAGTCGGACAAAGGAGAAGGAGAAGAACAAAAGCATGAGAGGAAGACTACAAGCCTTCAGCACGAAAGACCCCCAGAGGGACCACCAGAGACTGATATGCATGCGCCAGTAGGAGGGTTCGGATTCAAGGATCTAATTATAATAACCCTGTCTTTTCTCGAGTAATAATGAATATGTAGGAGTCTAGGAGCATAAAAAGTTACTATTACAATAGTGCTCATTAAACACAACTAGAGTAAGGGTGGTTATACATTTTTGGTGAATCCCTGACCATGGTAGTTCAGGGCTCTGAATCCAACCAGGCGCCTAATGGTTAATGCGGTATTGGTGAATCTGTGATTGTGATAGTTTAGTACCATGAATCCGACCGGACACATAACGGTTAATCGGCTACACCCCTTAAGAAGACACCAGACCACCTGGTTCTGCGTGGGCTCCTCTCCACGGGCTGCAGCTCCATCCTGAGGCCTGCACCTGTGGGGCCTCTACATGGGCCACAGCCACCTGCTCCACCAGGGGATCCACCAGAGGCTGCAGAGTGGAGATCTGCTCCATGTGGGACCCATGGGTGCAGGGGGACAGCCTGCTCCACCAGGGGCCTCTCCACAGGCCACAGGGGAACTTGTGCTGCATGCCTGGAGCACCTCCTGCCCTCCTGCTGCACTGACCTTGGTGCCTGCAGGGCTGGTTCTCATTCTTCCCTCTGCCACCTGTTGATGTCCAGCAGGTTTTCTTCCCTTCTTAAACATGCTCTCACAGAGGTACAATCAACATCAATTTTTGGCTCGTCTTTGGCCTGCAGCGGGTCCCTTTTGTGTCTGACACTGGCCCTTTTCAAATAGTGGGCAGCTTCTGGGCTTCTCAACAAGGCCACCACTGCAGACCCCAGCTACCAAACCCTTGCCATGTAAACCCAATACAGCTGTAGAGTGCAGGCCACAGTTTGCTTTCCCTTGCAGGGGCTTCCAGTACACCTGCAATGGACAGTGCCAGGGGTGCAAACACAGCCCTGCCATTTGCCATGGAGTAATGCAGATGGCTGTAGAAAAAGGTGAAGCTCCTGAGCACCTGCAGTGCATTGATGGCAGCCTCACATGGGGCAGCAAAGCACAGGAATTCTTGAGAAAGGGACGTAAATCATCTAAATTCTCCTGAAGGCTTGTTGTGCCATTGGCCAGAGTAAGGTCAAGGGAACGGTCCAGGAAATGTGAAACTTGTGTGTAAAATGGCAAGGTGGATGTTGCTATATCTCAGTGGGTGAGGTCAGTGAGGTAACAACTGTGTGCCCACCAGATAACAAGAAAGAACTACAACTTTTCCTACGCCTTGTGGGTTTCTGGAGAAGGTATAGTGCAGGTTGTAGTGAGCTTCTGAGCCCTCCCTATCGAGTACTGTGACAGAGCACTTTGAAGTCTCTTTGGGGTCTGTTATAGACCGCCGAACAAGGATGAAGAGACAGATGAGGAGTTCTACAGGCAGCTGACAGAAGTTGCGAAATCATTGCTGCTTGCTCTCGTGGGGGACTTCAGCTTCCCTGAAATATCCTGGAAGCACAACGCAGCCCAGAGAAAGCAGTCTAGGAGGTTTCTGGAGAGCGTGGAAGATAACTTCCTGACACAGCTGGTTAGTTAGCCTACCATGGGTGGCGCCCCGCTAGACCTTCTCTTCACAAACAGAGAAGGACTGGTGGAGGATGTGATTGTCGGGAGCTGTCTTGGGCAGAGTGACCACGAAATGGTGGAGTTCACTATTCTTGGTGAGGCCAGGAAGGGGACCAGTAAAATGGCTGTATTGGACTTCCAGAGGGCTGACTTTGTGCTGCTGAGGACACTGGTTGGTAGAGTACCTTGGGAGGTGGTTCTGAAGAGCAGAGGAGTCCAGGAAGGCTGGGCACTCTTCAAGAGAGAAATCTTAATGGCGCAGGAACAGTCTGGCCCCATGTACCCAAAGACGAGCCAGCGAGGAAGTAGACCAGCCTGGCTGAACAGAGAATTGTGGCTTGAGCTTAGGAGAAAAAAGAGGGTTTATAATCTTTGGAAAAGTGGGCAGGCCACTAGGGAGGACTATAAGGATGTTGCGAGGCTGTGCAGGGACAAAATTAGAAAGGCCAAAGCTCATCTGGAGCTCAATCTGGCTACTGCCGTTAAAGATAAAAAAAATGTTTTTATAAATACATCAACACATAAAGGAGGACTAAGGAGAATCTCCAGCCTTTACTGGATGCGGGGGGGAAATTAGTTACAAGAGATGAGGAAAAAGCGGAGGTGCTTAATGCCTTCTTCTCCTCAGTCTTTAGCGGCAATACCAGTTGTTCTCTGGATACCCAGTACCCTTAGCTGGTGGAAGGGGATGGGGAGCAGGATGTGGCCCTCTCTATCCACGAAGAAATGGTTTGTGACCCGGTACGGCACTTGGATGTGCACAAATCAATGGGGCTGGATGAGATCCACCCGAGGGTACTGAGAGAACCGGCGGAGGAGCTGGCCAAGCCTCTTACCATCATTTATCAACAGTCCTGGGTATCAGAGTAGGTCCCAGTTGACTGGCGGCTAGCAAACATGACACCCATCTACAAGAAGGGCTGGAGGGTAGGCCCAGTGAACTATAGGCCTGTTAGTTTGACCTCAGTGCCAGGGAAGTTCGTGGAGCAGATTATCTTGAGTGTCATCACACGGCACTTACAGTGCAACCAGGCGATCAGGCCCAGTCAGCATGGGTTTATGAAAGGCAGGTCCTGCTTGACGAACCTGATCTCTTTCTATGACAAAGTGACGCGCTGGGTGGATGAGGGAAAGGCTGTGGATGTCGGCTACCTTGACTTCAGTAAGGCTTTTGACGCTGTTCCCCACAACATTCTCCTCAAGAAACTGGCTGCTCATGGCTTGGACTGGCGTACACTTCATTGGGTTAAAAACTGGCTGGATAGCCGGGCCCAAAGAGTTGTGGTGAATGGAGTCAAATCCAGTTGAAGGCAGGTCACTAGTGGCATCCCCCAGGGCTCAGTACTGGGGCCAGTCCTCTTTAATATCTTTATCGATGATCTGGATGAGGGGATTGAGTGCACCCTCAGCAAGTTTGCAGATGACACAAAGTTCAGATGAAACATCTGCTCAAGGGTAGGAAGGCTCTGCAGGAGGATCTGGATAGGCTGGAGCACTGGGCTGAGGTCAACTGTATGAAGTTCAACAAGGTGAAGTGATGGGTCCTGCACTCGGCACACAACAACCCCAAGCAGAGCTACAGGCTGGGAGATGAGTGATTGGAAAGCTGCCTGGATGAGAAGGACCTGGGAGGATAATCGTCCGAATATGAGCCAGCAGTGTGCTCAGGTGGCCAAGAAGGACAACAGCATCCTGGCTTGTCTAAGAAGCAAATGGGCCAGCAGGGCTAAGGAAGTGACTGTCCCCCTGGACTCGGCTCTGGTGAGGCCACACCTCGAGTACTCTATTCAGTTTTGGGCCCCTCTCTACAAGAAGGACATGGAGGTGCCCGAGAGAGTTCAGCCTGGAGAAAAGGAGGCTCAGGCATGACCTTATTGCTCTCTCTAGATACCTTAAAGGAGGCTGTAGAGGTGGGGATTGGTCTATTCTCCCACATGCCTGGTGACAAGACGAGGAGGAATGGGCTAAAGTTGTGCCAAGGGAGGTTTAGGTTGGATGTTAGGAAAAACTTCTTTACTGAAAGGGTTGTTAGGCATTGGAACGGGCTGCCCAGGGAAGTGGTTAAGTCCCTGTCCCTGGAGGTTTTTAAAAGATGTTTAGATGTTGAGCTTACAAATATGGTTTAGAGAAGGAGTTCTTAGTGGTAGGTCAGAGGTTGGACTAGGTGATCTTGAAGGTCTCTTCCAACCTAGACGATTCTCTGATTCTGTGATTTCATTACATTTCTCCCCACCCAATTCTCCATCCTGTCTAGGTCTAGCTGGATGGCAGCACAGCCTTCTAGCATGTCAGCCACTCCTCCCAGTTTAGTGTCATCAGCAAACTTGCTGACAGTGCACTCTACTCCCTCATCCAAGTCATTGAAGAATATATTGAATAGCACTGGTCCCAGTACCGACCCTTGAGGGACTCCACCAGATACAGGCCTCCAACTCGCCTCCACCCCATTGAAAACAACCCTCTGGCTTCTTCCCTTCAGACAGATCACAGTCCACCTCACTACCAGATCACCCTTCACACACTTCACACACTTCAGGTTAGCTGCAAGGATGCTGTGTGTGGGAGACGGTGTCAAAGGCTTTACTGAAATCAAGATAGACCACATCCACTGCTTTAATATCATCTATCCCCCCACCTATATCCTCATAAAAGGCTCTCAGTTCGGTCAAGCATGACTTCCCCTTGCTGAATGCCTCTAATGACACCTTTATCTTTGATATAACTAGAGACTACGCCAGGTCTAAATTGTTCCATCAGCTTTGCAGGGATGGAGGTGAGGCTGACTGGTCTATAGTTACCTGGGTCATCCTTCTTTCCCCTTTGGAAGACTGGACTAACATTTGCTTTCCTCCAGTCCTCAGGCAACATTCCTGATGCCCATGACTTACCACACATGATGAACAATGGCCTAGCAATGACTTCCACCAACTCCCTCAGCTCCTGGCATGAGCATCTTGAGCATGCCATCATGACCCGTGGATTTATGGACGTCCAGAGATGTTTATTTTTCTTCTAAACAAAACCACATCTGCAGCACACACACCACTTGGCAGACACATGCAAGTACATCCCTGCAGTGATACCGGTCCCTATAGGTCCAAATGTCCATCAGTGTGGGTGCATGGAAGAGAAGCCCTGTGACTTTATCATGCAGTTTAGGAATACATAATTTCCAGTGAGCACAGGGAGATGGTTTCACATGAGGAATAACCATTGATACACTCACAATATTACTTGGTACACCTGATATATTTTAGAGGTATTGATTTATTGCAAACTGAGATATGAATCCTTCAACATCTTGGCTAGGCACACACAGACTTTCCCTGTGACAGAAAATCCCAAAGAACCCCGAAGTGCAACCCCCAGCCCAATGGTATGGTTGCAAGAGCTTCCTACAAGACAGTGAAGGCAAACATGGGCAAAGCTCCTGTGCCCTTGCCCTGTGGCAGCGCTATCGGGTCTGGGTGCGGGTCACCGTGGCATACGTTGTGGTGTCGCTCATCTGATGCATGGGAGGAGGCTTTAGGGAGAAATGAAACCCTGTTACTTCAGCTGCTGACTGTGAGCCCTGCATAATGTGCGGGCACCAGGCTGCAGGAGTGCAGAAAGGAGCTGTGCACAGCTGTGCCATGACTCACCCTGTCCCGTCGAACGTGGGCGATTGTTGTTTCTGTGGGGAAGAAACACTCGATGAGCCCTTGCTGATTGGAGGCGGGTGAACCCCCGTGAGCTTTGGGCATCAGCTGCCTGGGTTTAACACTCAATGCCTGACCACATTTCCCCTCCCATCACCCTGATCTGCGATGTGCATTAAGCAGCAGTGGAGCAAAGATTCTGAGGGTGTGGGGTCTTTCCACCATTCTGTGGCATCGCCACTCTTTCCACAGCCAGCACACCTTGCAAACTGCTCTGTGCAGGCATGGGTAAAAAAGGTTGTGCTGCAACTCGTCCTGAGAGCACATCAGGTGGGGATATATCTATAGCTTGTCGCCCAACCACAACATCCTCCCTTGGCTGCTGCCTGTGGTTTCAGAATGAGCTATAAAATGTTTTCCCCACCAGTGCAAGGAAACAGAGCGACAGCTTTCATTGCTGTGATGTGCTTTGTGTAGTTCTTGAAGCAGAAATGACACTGAAGAGAAACTGAAGAAAGGACAAAAGCAGAGGCTGAAGCAGAGGAAATGCAGCCTGAGGCTAGAGCCGGTGTGGAAGGACCCCACAAGCAAATGGGCTTTGTCCCTGGGAACACTGGGATGCTGCCATGTCCCTTGTGCAACCAGCAGCCACGCTCTGCATGCAAGGAAGAAGCAGGACGTGAGGTGCTGGAGAGAAACCTGCCCTTGATGAACAGGCAGGGATTTTGTATGTCCCAGTGGGAAATGAAGTGGTGGGATTACATGGGGAGTATACAAGCAGGGGTGACCATGGTCAGAGGGGCATGTGGCTTCCCCCAAGGGAGGAGGTAGTACTCACACTGGATGCCACCATAGTTGGTGTCTTCCGTCTGCGGGCTGTCAACGTGCTGCTGCCTGGAGAGCAATTGAATGGTTGTTGGGTGTTTGTTTGTGGTGAGGTTGCCACATGAGAAACGCACTTGGGTCTTGCTTTCCTACATCATGTGGTGAAGTGGAATGCAGCAAACAACAAGGTCCATTCTCCCTGCCTCCAGCACAGGGAATGCAGCCACACACACACAGAAAATGCTGCCCCTGGTCAAGGAGCACCCCAGGGCCCTGCCATGCCCCAGCTCCCTCCCCCATACCCCACAGCCAGGAGCCCTTGGTGCTCACCTTGGGCATCTCCCTCTGCAGGCACCTGCAAGAAGAACAGGGGCTGAGGTGCACAGGCCAAGGTGCTGCCCAGCCCTGGCTCCCATCTCGGGGCTGGGGGATGAAGGCTAAAGCTCCCCAGCTCCCTCGGGAGCCTCCCCAGCTGGGCTGCCCACAGCCATCACCCCCAGGCACCGTCTGACCCAGCTGTGCACCCCCAGGTTCCCCCCACCACCTTTCCCACTGCACCAGCCCCAGCAGGGCCCCCATGGCCTCAGCCTTCCCCCCACCTTCCTCCACTCCCTCACCTTTCCTGATGGCAAACCAGCTGCCTGCAGCCAGGAAGACAAGGCCGATGGCTGCCACTGCCAGCGCCATGCCTGTGGGGAGGGTGTGCGGGATCCGGGCATGTGGAGCTGGGGGAGAGAGGATGTGAGGGCAGCGGGGCGTGATGGGGAGAGGCAGGGTGCAGGACGTGTCCATGCAGCTTGCACAGCTCCTGCCTGGTAAAGCTCCTGCTTGTCCCCATGCCCTGGGGAAGGCAGCACAGCACGCCCACTCCCCATGCTCGGGTTTCTGAGGGTGCAGGAGGGAATCACTCACCTGTGGTTGATGGACTTGCTGGGAAACTCACCACATTGCCTGGCAGGATAAAAGGACAGGCTTAGTTTCTACAGTGCACCCAGATCCTTCCCAGAATGATCCTCAGCCCCATGGCCACATCCCTCCACCGACAGCCAGCACCATCCCCAGGAAAGGCATAAAATGCCCGTGGCTGTTGTGCCAACATGGGCCCCCATGGATCTGCTGTCTAAATTCCCTCGTGAGTGGTTAAAAATAGCTTGGCCAAGGTGTGCCTGCCAATTAAGTATGGCACCACAACTCTCATCTGTCTGTGATTCTGGGGGCTAGAGGATCACACAATCACAGAATGGCCAAGGTTGGAAGGGACCTCTGAAAGCCATGGAGTCCAGCCTTCTGCTGAGCAGGATCAGCTAGGACAGACTGCACAGAATGGCATCCAGGTGGATTTGGAATATTTGCAGAGGAGACTCCACAGCATCTCTAGGCAGCCTGTTCCAGTTCTCTGTCACCCTCCCAGTAAAGAATTGCCCCTCATATTCAGATGGAACTTTCTGTGCTTCAATATGAGCCCGTTGCCTCTCGCCCTTTCCCTGGGCAGACCAGCACCATTCTCTCAACACCCTCCCCTCAGATATTTATAGACATGGATGAGGTCTCCCCTCAGTCTCCTCTTTTCCAGGCTATACAGGCTCTGTTCTCTTGGCTCCAGACCTCTGATCATCTTTGCAGCCCTCCTCTGGACTCTCTCCAGTAGTTCTATGCCCCTCCTGAACAGGGAATCCCAGAACTGGACACAAAATGCTTTGTGTTCCATGCAGGGAAGTGATTCCTTCCCAGGAGCTCACACACAGAGAACAAATTCCCTCTCCCTTGCCATCACCAACCCACACACCTCTCTCCAGTCACCCATCCCCACGCTCAACCTCACCTGGGGAGCTGCCGATGTCCTGGGTGGTCACGCCAGCAGCTGCACCTTGGGGCACAGAGGGTTTTGTTTAGAGGGAGTGAGAGCTGGGGCACCTACACGCTTGTGCCCATGTCCCTGCTGCTGGGTCCTTGCCATGTCCTCACTTCTGTGTCCTTGCAGAGGTCATGACAGTCATCCCACTGGCCCTGCCATAGGCTCATCAATGCACAGGGCAGACCTTAGAGCATCCCTGGCTCAACCCAGCATCCATGCACATCCCCAGTCTTTACTCTCTCTGCCCGGGATCTGCAGAGCCCCATCTCTGAAGCAGAGGTGGTGCTGCAGGGACAGGGGAACCCCTTGAGAACAACTCTCTCTCTCTAGGGGCTGCCTTGGAGGAGAGGGAACACTCCCATGGGGGAAGCACCCCAGAGCCTGCTGCAGCACACAGCTCCAGCCTCAGCACAGCCATGTGGTGACAAGTGCCTCCGTCCCTTCTCACCCCTCCAGCCCGGGGACGTGTCTCACCAGGGACATTCAAGATGCGGCCAGCACTGAGGGCAGAGCTCCTCCTCTGTTTCATCTCATTCCTCTGCTGGTACCCACATGTATATCTTCCTGTGCTTCTTGACGTGATGTTCAGGACCGTGAAGTAGATCAGCTGCCCTTGCTGGGCTTCCTGGCTGTACTGCTCCTTCCCATCCTTGCAGAAGATGATTCGTCTTGTATGTGAAAACACATGGAGAATACACTGGAGCACAACTGTGGTACCTGGCTGAGCAGAAGTTGAGTTCATTTGGAAAGCAGGAGCTCGGAGATCCCCTGCAGGAGACACAGCAGTGAAGGGCTGCCATAGGGCAGAGCTCACAGTGGTTGGGCTTCCAAGTGCCCTGGCTCTGGGAGGGAAGGACTCACGAGTACCTGGAGAGCTGCAGATGTCCTGGGAGGTCATGCTGCCACCTGTATCAAGGGGCAGAGGAGGGTTTGCTGAGATGGGCAGTGTCCAAGCTCATCCTGATGCCCCTGCCAAAATCCTCACTGCTAAGCAGCCACCATCACACATGCATGTTCTCATGCTGTACCTCTTCAATATCCCCTCAAACAATGCCTCTTCCAATCCCAATTTGGATGGATTTCCTATTCCAGGTTTGGCCCATATCTCTGTAAAGACCTCAGCAGTCCTAGAGACTCAGAGCAACACTCCAGACAATTTATGGTGCTGGAGAAGTGTGCCCCTTGCTCAGCTATGTATTATACTTGGAGGAAGGCATCCCCATCCTGCTTTCCCCAGAGCAACTCTGCCCCACACTGCTGCACATCTTCCCCGCACATGCTGTCCCCATCCTCCCCTTAGCTCACCACTGTCCTGTTCTGCCCCCAGCAGCAGCCCTCCAGTCCTCAGCCCCCACACCCAGCAATGCCCCAACTCACAGAGCACCAGCAGCAGGATGGCATGGCCAGAAGGAGACAGCCTTGCCCATGGCGCCTGCCACAGCATCTTTTGGGGTGCTCCTTTTCGGGAGCAGTGTCTGCTTCGAGTTTCTGCTTTGCTCTGAGCTGGGGACGGTGGGGCAGAGGCTTGCGGTTCAGCTGGGAGCTGTGCTGTAGGCTTACTGTCGCCACCTGAGCCTGGCCCACAGCCAGAGGCTCTCATCAGTGGGGGCCTTGCCTAAGAACCTGCTACATCCGCTGCTTTGGTTGAGCCCCCACTGTTTTTTCTCTCCTCTCACACACTGCAGCACACGCTAGTTTTACTTGTATCTCAGGGACAACATTGTTCCTGTAAAGAGCTCCTGCCCCTTGAGCCCACTCGGATTTGCCCTCTTCGGACAACGTCACTCTGCTTCTCTTCAATGTCTAGACAAATGATGGCATCAGGGGCATCCTGCACCAAGGCCAAAGTGATGCCAGAGCTCTGGGGCAGGTACCAAGGCTGTGGGCAGATTTCTCCTTCATCCTGTTGGTGAATCAGCTTATGAAGAACTCTCAGGGAGTCTCAGCTGGGGCCATAGTGCTGCCAGCACAGTACTGTGGGAGCCATCTGCACCCACACTTTGACCCTCGTGCGACCACACAACATCCAGGAAAGGCAGAGGCTTTGTCCTGAAGGCACCTGAGCTCCCCCACGCTGCTCTCTCAATTCCGTTCCTCAAAGGAAGGCGCTGAGCCAAGGGAAGCAGAGCAGTGGCAGCACATCCCTTGGGCATGCTGCCCCAGCTGCCTTGAGTCCAATGTCAGGGGGAGCCTGGCCACGGTGGGGGTCATGCTCTGAGCATGGGGGAGAAAACTGGGGACAGCACGGAGCCCAGGAGGACATCAGAGCACCACGGGGACAAGGAAGTCTCCAGGCTGCCTGGCCACACTGGCACTGTGGCTCCATCTCTCCAGGAGGAGGGTGATGATGGGGGCAGACAGCAGCAGGAGCGGGCTGAGGGCAGAGCGCAGGATCCAGACCTCCAGGGACATGGCTGACCCTGGGAGAGAGGAGGAACACAGTGTGGCCAAGGCAAGCCACGGAGGACGGCAGTGCTGGGAAGGGCTGATGAGCGATGTCTCACCTCTGGAAGGGAGCTGGGCCTTGTGTGAGGGGCTGCTGCCTGTGAGAGACATGAACATGCTGTGAGTTGATGGAGCTCTTTGCTGGGACAATCCCAGATGCTGAGCAGACCCTGAGCTCGTGTCTTGCTTCCTTGTGTACATGGTGAGCATTAACAACTGAGCTCATATAAATTCCCAGAAAGAGGTTAGTAAAAGTGTGAGGGAGAGCTTGGAGCAGTAGTGGCACAGTCCAAGGCCAATTGATATCCCCAACCCTTGTTTTTTACATGGGCACTGCAGAGCCCCATATCTCAGCAGAGGTGCTACTGCAGCTACAGGGGAACTCTTGAGGCAGTTCTCCGTCCAGGGTCTCCTGTGGAATAGGGGGAACACTCCCAAGTTGGTATCATACCTGAGCCATGCCCTATATGATGAAGCACACAGCTCCAGCTTCTGCACCGCCCACATCCCACTAACCCCACAGCCCTGATGAAGGGTCGTGTCTCACCTGGCACAGACAGGGTCCAAGGAGCACTGAAAGGAGAGCACCCAAACTGACTGGGGACTGGCCATGAGGACACGGAGCATTCCCTTCATTCCCAGGGAAGTCTGCGGTCTATCAGAGCCTGGATCAGAGATATCACCAGGACACTCATCAGCCTGCTCTGCTTCACATACTACTATCTACTGACGATATTGCAGACAGCTGTGGAGGAAGCTGCATCCTGTAGTCTGAGGGGAATGAAGAAAGCTTTCAAGGCCTTGGGACGGTTGGTGAAGGAGTCTGGAGCACAAGTCCCTTTCTCTTCCCTCCATCCATTCTGGGGTGGTGACATTGGATGGAATAGAAGCATCTGGTCCATAAATGCTTGGCTCCCTGACCTGTGCTACAGGCCCAACTTTGGGTTGTTTGGTAATGGCTGGTGTTATAAGACAGCAGGCCTGAGAGGAATACTTGGGAAAGGTTTATCTCACAGGGTCCAGAGGGTTCTGGGACAGCAATTAGCAGGGCTCTTTTCGAGAGCTTCAAGCTATATCCGCAGGCTAATGGGCTTGTAGCAGGGCTTGTAGCAGAGGGGCGGTGCCCCCGCAGAGATGTTCATCTGATTCGTGTCAATATGGAACAATGCTAGGGCCGCATGGTATGATGAATGTGACCTTCTGTCTTACATACCCTTGTAAGTCTGGTTAATGACTTGGTTAATATACATTAACCAAGAGTGGTTAATGTATATCGTTCTTGCATCTTGCAAAGGACTGCTCCAGCAATTCGTGTCAGCAGAGAGCTTGAAGGGAAATGTATTTGTAGGCTTTTCCTTGAAGTCTCTAATATCTCGGGGGACGGGCGGGAGGGTGTTCAGAATAACTGCTAACTATTATGACTATTGCATGGGACTCTATGCAAGTCTCTCATATCTGGCCAGGAGATTAAGGAGAAGGGGAAAGCTGAAGAACGACTAAAAGACAAAGCTTGCAGGGGACTCTGTACAAGTCTCTGACATCCAGCCAAGTAGGACAAAGGAGAAGGACAAGAGGGAGGAAGACTATGACCCTTTAGCATGACAGACTCCCAGAGGGACCACCGGAGACTGATACGCATGCTCCGGTTGGAGGGTTTGGATTCCGGAAACTAATTATAATAACCCTGGTTTTTCAGAAGTGGTTATGAATATGTATTAGCCTAGAGCATAAAAATCAGCTGCTTGATGTAACTGGTGTGCACCTTGGTGGAGCAGAGGCTGCCGGTGCACCCAGCGCTCTTTGCTTACCTCTATTCCTTTAAAAAATTGTAAACTTTGATTATAGTCCTATTTTGAAGACTGAGCCATTTATTACAACAATAATAATAACAATAGTGATGATAATAGTACCACTGGCTGGCAGAGGGGCTCAGGCTGCACAGCATTGCACAAGCAACAAGAGTACAGAGGCTGAGCATCGGCAGGGGATGCAGCAGTGGAAGGGACAGAAATGTATTTGGGAGAAGCTGTACATGCTTCCTAGATTATTGGAAAGCTGCAAAATTACGAGAGAAATCTGGCAAAGGGAAAAGGGGAGGAGGCCATGTAGGAAGAATACTGCCCTTGAGATACAGGTAAAAACAGCAAGAGTTGCAGTGTGTGAGAGGACAGAAATAACAGCGGGAGCTCAACAAAAGCAGCGGATGTAGCAGGGGCTGAGGCAGGTTACTCATTGATGAGAGCCTCTGGCTGTGGGCAAGGCTCAGGCGGCCACAGAAAGCCCACAGGGCAGCTCCCAGCTGCGCTACAAGCCTCTGTCCCACCGTCCCCAGCTCAGAGCAAAGCAGAAACTCGAAGCAGACGCTGCTCCCCAAAAGCAGCGCCCAAAAAGATGCTAGGGCAGGCGCCATGGGCAAGGCTGTCTCCTTCTGGCCCTGCCGTCCTGCTGCTGGTGCTCTGTGAGTTGGGGCATTGCTGGGTGTGGGGGCTGAGGGCTAGAGGGCTGCTGCTGGGGGCAGGATAGATCCGTGGTGGGCACAGGGGAAGTTGGGGATAGCGTGTGTGGGGCAGGCGTGCAGCACTGTGGGACAGAGTTGTTTGGGGGAAAGCAGGAGGCCATGACCCCTCTAAGCAAAGCTCTCTCTGCCCCATGCTGCAGGTACTGGCGTGACCACCCAGGACATCTGCAGCTCTCCAGGATTTCAGGTGCATGGAGGTGGGTCACGAAAATGAACGTGTCCTGGGGAAAGAGATGGGAATAGAGAAGGGGATTATTCCCTCGCAGTTCCCCCTGTGAAGCCCCAGGAGAGCAGATTTTTCCAGCCTTGACATGCAGTTGGTTTTGCCACCTGGCCATCACTAATGCTTGCCTGGGGAATCCCTCTGCCTTCTCTCCAGGTAACGACCAGACTCCAGTCCTGTACCTCAATGCTTCTAGTGCCAAGGAGGGGGAAATAGTGCTGCTTCAATGTATCCTTGATGAGCAGTTTCCTCCTACACGAGTTGTCTTCTGCAAGAATGGGCTGGAGGAGTTCATCCTGAAAGCCCAGCAGGGCAGGCTCATCTATGCTCTGGTCCTGAACATCACCTCCAGAAGTGCTGGGATGTACACGTGTGGGTACCAGCAGAGGAACGAGAAAAACTGGGTGAGGAACTCTGCTCTCAGTGCTCCCTGGACCTTGTCTGTGGCAGGTGAGAAACGGCCCCAGAGTGGTGAGGGTAGAAGGTTTCAGAAAACTGCTGGGGTTGGTGCTGTGTGCTGCAGCAGGCAGGGCATGGCTCTGGGATGGTTCCCCCTCAGGAGTGTTCCCTCTCTTCAGAGGCAGCCCCTACAGAGAGAAAGCTGCTCTCAAGGGCTGTCCCCATAACTGCAGCAGCAGCTCGGCTGAGGCATGGGGCTGTGCAGTGCCCATGCAGAGAGAGCAAGAGCTGGGGATGTTGATGGACCCTGGGTTGAGCCTGGCATGTTCCAAGATCTGCCCTGTACATTGATGAGCCTATGGCAGGGGAAGTGGTGTGATTGTCATGAGACAGGCTATAGCCTGTACATCAGCAAGAGTGTGGGATGGTTCCAGAAGGGAGAGCACAGTGGTCCTGGTTTGAGATGCCTGCTCAGCAAGAACAAAGAGGAAGAAAAAGGACTCGGGTGTGGCGGTGTGCCAGGTCTTGGCCCCACTAAGAAAAACCCTTTTTGCCCCAAGGTGCAGGAGGCGGTGAGACCATCACTGATATCCAGAGCTCCACAGGTGAGGACAAGCGTGAGGGTGTGTCGGCTGCATGGACACGTCCTGCTCCCTGCCTCTCCCCATCACACCCCGCTGCCCTCACACCCTCTCTCCCCTGGCTCCACATGCCCGGCTCCCGCACACCCTCCCCACAGGCACGGTGCTGGCAGTGGCGGCCGTCGGCCTCGTCCTCCTGGCTGCAGGCAGCTGGTTTGCCATCAGGAAAGGTAAGGGAGTGGGGGAAGAAGGAGGGAAGGCTGAGGCTGTGGGGGTCCTGCTGCGGGACTGGTGCGCTAGGAAAGGCGGTGGGGGGAACCCTGGGTGTTTGCGGCTGGGCCAGACGGTGCCTGGGGGCGATGGCTGTGGGCAGCTCAGCTGGGGAGGCTGCTGAGGGAGCTGGGGAGCTTCAGCCTTCATCCCCCAGCCCCGAGATGGGAGCCAGGGCTGGGCAGCACCTTGGTCTGTGCACCTCAGCCCCTGTTCTTCTTGCAGGTGCCTGCAGAGGGAGATGCCCAAGGTGAGCACCAAGGGCTGCTGGCTGTGGGGTATGGGGGAGGGAGTTGGGGGCATATTGAGGTCGTGGGATGCTTCTTGGCCAGGGGCAGAATTCTCTGTGTGTGTGTGGCTGCATTCCCTGTGCTGGGGCATGGAGGACGGGGTTTGTCAAGGCGTGGATTTCAGCTCCATACCTCATGTAGGAAAGCACCACCCAAAAGAGTTTCTCACAGTGCCTCTTGTCCACAAATATACACTCCAGAATGATTCCATTCCTCTCCAGGCATCAGCACGTTGGCAGACCACAGATGGAAGACACCAACAACGGCGAAGTCCAGTGTGAGTACTACCTCCTCCCTTGGGGGAAGCCACATGCCCCTCTGACCATGGTCACCCCTGCTTATGCATTCCCCATGCAATCCCACCACTTCATTTCCCACTGGGACATACAAAATCCCTGCCCGTTCATCAAGGCCAGGTTTCTCTCCAGCACCTCATGTCCTGCTTCTTCCTTGCATGCAGAGTGTGGCTGCTGCCTGCACAAGGGACATGGCAGCATCCCAGTGCTCCCAGGGACAAAGCCCATTTGCGTGGGGGTTCCTTCCACACCAGCTCCAGCCCCAGGCTTCAATTCCCCTGCTCCAGCCTCTGCTTTTGTCCTTTCTTCAGTTTCCTGTCAGAGGAATTTCTGCTCAGAGAAGCAAAAAGCACCGCGCAGCAATGAAAGATGTGGCTCCTTGCCCTGGTGGGGAAAGCATTTTAGAGCTTGCTCTGAAACCACAGGCAGCAGCCAAGGGAGGATGTTGTGGTTGGGTGACAGGCTATAGATATATCCCCACCCTACTTGCACCTCACTCAAGTTGCAGCACAACCTTGTTTACCCACGCTTGCACAGAGCAGCTCGCAAGGTGTGCTGGCTGTGCAAAGAGAGGAGATTCCACAGAAAGCTGGAAATACACCAAAACCTCAGCATCTCTGCTCCATCGCTGCTGCTTAATTTTCATCCCAGTTCAGGGTGATGGGAGAGGAAATGTGGCCGGGCTTTGAGAGCTGACCACAGGCAGCTGCTGCCCATGGTCAGTGTGAGTTTCAGCCCTCCACCAACAGGCAGCAATGGCTAATGGTATGTTTTTTTTGCCCCCACAGACTCCACCATCGCCCATGTTCGACGGGACAGGGTGAGTCGTGGCACAGCTGTGCACAGCTCCTTTCTGCAATTCTGCAACCTGGTGCCCGCACATTGTGCAGGGCTCACAGTCAGCAGCTGAAGTAACAGGGTTTCATTTCTCCCTAAAGCCTGGTCCTGTGCAGCACATGAGCGACACCACAACGTATGCCACGGTGACCCACACCCAGACCCGATAGAGCTGCCACAGGGCAAGGGCACAGGAGCCTTGTCCACAGATACCTTTGCTCTGTTCAAGAGGGCTTGTGCAGCCATAACGTGGAGCTGGGGTTGCACTTTGGTCTTCTTTGTTTCTTTTCTTTTTTTTTGTCACAGGGAAGGGCTGTGAGTGTCTAGCCAAGACGATATAGGACTCATACCTCCATCTACAAGACATAAATACTTCTAAAATATATGAGCTATACCAAATCTTACTGTGAGTGCATTGATTTTTTCTGAATAAAATAAAACATCTTGCTGTGCTCAGTGAATGTCGTGTAAACCTAAATTGCATTATAATTTCATGGGAATGTTATTCTACCCACCTATGGAGATGCCCATTTTTGACCTACATGGGCAGATATCACTGCAGGGATGTCCTCGCCTGTGTGTGTCAATAGTGTGTGTGCACTGCAGATGTGGTATTGCTTTGATGACAAATACACATCTCTGACTTTGTGTTCCTGATGGCACCTCCGTCTCATGCACCCATATCAGAAATGTGACAGAGCAGACAGACAGACACCGATACACAAAGGGCTGGTGGTATCGATCTGAAGGGATGTGAAGAGCCTTGCAGACAGACCTTGCCGAGAAGAACTACACCAGCTCCTTCCTGTTTGGGGTGGCTTTATTCAGAGCTCGCAGATCAGCACGGCTTTCCCCAATGCTCTCTGCCTCTCAGAGAACCAGCTGCATCACCTCTCACTTGCTCAGCTTTAGGCATGCAGTGGGTGTTGAGAGCAGTTGGATTGAGAGAGCTGCAAAACACAAGGGAGAACAAGATGTGGCCTTGCTCTGGCGGTGCCCACCATGGGAAAATGCTGGGAGCATGGAAGGAGGGAGATTCAGACAGAGCACAGCCACGCAAAGCTCCCAGGCTCCTGCATTCGGATGCACTTTTGGCTTCCATTTGCTCTCCAACAGCCTGCCCTCTCACAACCATCACGTGCACGCTCAGCCTGGAAGGCTGGGCTTGGGCTGAACTCACCTTCACTCTGCCCATCTCATCCACGTTGGCATCTGGAGGGAGAACCTGAGTTAGTGTCCAGCCACACACAGCAGGCAGGTGTTTCCCACCCCTCACCACAGTAGCTCCCATGACTACGGCTTGCCATGGCAAAGGCATCAGCACTTCACACAGTGCCTAGAGGAGAAGGGTGAAGAAGGGACTGGCACTTACAGAAATGGCTGGGGTCAGCAGAAGAGTCCTGAGCACTGCCAGCACCACACAGAGGCCTAGAGAGAGGAGAGAAAAAATGTCCTGAAGGTCTGCAGCACCACTGCCACAAAGAAGCACAGGGCCATTTGGGCCATTCCCATGGATGATGCTATAATCCTTCCAGGATTCAGCTGAAGTCCACCCCACAGCAAGCCACTTCTCCTATGCCTTCTGCACAAGGAATGCAGTCACACAGAAGGACAAATCTGCCCCTGGTCATGCAGCACCCCAGGGCCCTGCCATGCCCCCAACTCCCTCCAACAAACTCCACAGCCAGCATCCCATAGTGCTCACCTTGGGCATCTCCCTCTGCAGGCACCTGAAAGAAGAACAGGGGCTGAGGCGCACAGGCCAAGGTGCTGCCCAGCCCTGGCTCCCATCTCGGGACTGGGGGACGAAGGCTGAAGCTCCTCAACTCTCTCAGCAGCCTCCCCAGCTGGGCTGCACACAGCCATTGCCCCCAGGCAACGTCTGCCCCAGCTGCGCACCCCCAGGTTCCCCCCACTGCATTTCCTAGTGCACCAGTCCCGCAGCAGGACCACCACAGCCTCAGCCTTTCCTCCCACTTTCCCCCACTCCCTCACCTTTCCTGATGACAAACCAGCTGCCTGCAGCCAGGAGGACGAGGCCGACGGCCGCCACTGCCAGCGCCGTGCCTGTGGGGAGGGCGTGTGGGATCCGGGAATTTGGAGCTGGGGGACAGAGGGTGTGAGGGCAGCGGGGTGTGATGGGGAGAGGCAGGGTGCAGGACGTGCCCATGCAGCTGGCACAGCTCCTGCCTGGTGAAGCTCCTGCTTGTCCCCATGCACTGGGGAAGAAAGCACAGCACTCCCACTCCCAATGCTCGGGTTTCTGGGGGTGTAGGTGGGAATCACTCACCTGTGGATGATGGACTTGCTGGGGAACTCGCCACATAGCCTGGCAGGATAAAAGGACAGGCTTAGCCTCTACAGTGCACCCACCTCTTTCTCAGAATGAGCCTCAGCCCCTTGGCCACATCCCCCCACCAACAGCCAGCACCATCCCCAGGGGAGTCACAAAATTGTCCGTGGTATCTGAGCCAACCTGGACCACCACAGATCCAGTGTCTAAATGCTTTTCTGAATGATTAAAAACGACATAGCAGAGGTGTGCCTGTTATTTAACACCACCACTCTCATCTCTCTGTGATTTGGAGGGCTAGAGGATCACACAATCACAGAATGGCCAAAGTTGAAAGGGACCTCTGAAAGTCATGGAGTCCAGCCTTCTGCTGAGCAGGATCAGCTGGGACAGACTGCACAGAATGGCATCCAGGTGGATTTGGAATATCTCCAGAGGAGACTCCACAGCGTCTCTGGGCAGCCTGTTCCAGTGCTCTGTCACCCTCCCAGTAAAGAAATGCCCCTCATATTCAGATGGAACTTTCTGTGCTTCAATTTGAGACCATTGTCTCTCGCTCTTTTCCTGGACAAAACTGAAAAGAGACAAGCTCCATCCTCTCAACACCCTCCCCTCAGATATTTATAGACACGGATGAGGTCTCCCCTCAGTCTCCTTTTTTCCAGGCTATACAGGCTCAGTTCTCTTGGCTCCGGTCCTCTGATCATATTTTAAGACCTCCTCTGGACTCTCTCCAGTAGTTCTATGCCCCTCCTGAACAGGGAATCCCAGAACTGGACACAAAATGCTTTGTGTTCCATGCAGGGAAGTGATTCCTTCCCAGGAGCTCAAACAAAGAGAACAAATTCCCTCTCCCTTGCCATCACCACCCCACACACACCTCTCTTCAGTCACCCATCCCCATGCTCAACCTCACCTGGGGAGCTGCCGATGTCCTGGGTGGTCACGCCAGCAGCTGCACCTTGGGGCACAGAGGGTTTTGTTTAGAGGGAGTGAGAGCTGGGGCACCCACACGCTTGTGCCCATGTCCCTGCTGCTGGGTCCTTGCCATGTCCTTACTTCTGTGTCCTTGCCCAGCTCATGACAGTCATCCCACTTGCCCTGCCATAGGCTCATCAATGCACAGGGCAGACCTTGGAGCATCCCTGGCTCATCCAGCATCCTCAGTCTTTACTCTCTCTACCCGGGATCTGCAGAGCCCCATCTCTGAAGCAGAGGTGGTGCTGCAGGGACACGGGAATCCATTGAGAGCAACTCTCTCTCTCTAGGGGGTGCCTTGGAGGAGAGGGAACACTCCCATGGGGGAAGCACCCCAGAGCCTGCTGCAGCACACAGCTCCAGCCTCAGCACAGCCATGTGGTGGCAAGTGCCTCCGTCCCTTCTCAACCCTCCAGCCCGGGGCCATGACTCACCAGGGACATTCAGGATGCGGCCAGCACTGAGGGCAGAGCTCCTCCTCTGTTTAATCACATTCCACTCCTGGTACCCAAATCAATATCTTTCTGTGCTTCTTGATGTGATGTTCAGGACCAGGGAGTAGCTCAGCTGCCCTTCATGGGCTTTCTGGCTGTACTGCTCCTTCCCATCCTTGCAGAAGATGATTCGTCTTACAGGTGACACCACAGGGAGAATACACTGAAGCAAAATTATTTTACCTGGCTGAGTAGACATTGAGTTCATTTGGAGAACAGGAGCTCGGAGATCCCCTGGAGGAGACACAGCAGTGAAGGGCTGCCATAGGGCAGAGCTCACAGTGGTTGGGCTTCCAAGTGCCCTGGGTCTGGGAGGGAAGGACTCACGAGTACCTGGGGAGCTGCAGATGTCCTGGGAGCTCATGCTGCCACCTGTACCAAGGGGCAGAGAGGGATTCCCTGAGAGGGGCAGTGTCCAGGCTCATCCTGATGCCCCTGACCAAATCCTCACTGCTAAGCAGGCATCATCACACCTGCGTGTTCTCATGCTGTATATCTTCAATAACCTCTTGAACAATCCCAAACCCAATCCTATTTTGTGTGGATTTCTTTGTTCCAGGTAAGTCCCTTATGTCCTTAAAAAACTCAGCAGTCCTAGAGCCTCAGAGCAACACTCCAGAACAATCCATGGTGCTGGAGATGTGTGCCCCTTGCTCATATCTGTATCATTCCTGGAGGAAGCCATCCCAATCCTGCCTTCCCCAAACAAACTCTGCCCCACGGTGCTGCACCACTGCCCCACACACGCTGTCCCCATCCTCCCCTGTGCCCACCACGGGCTTGTCCTGCCCCTAACAGCAGCCTTCCAGCCCTCAGCCCCCACACCCAGCAATGCCCCAACTCACAGAGTGCCAGCAGCAGGATGGCAGGGCCAGAAAGAGACAGCCTTGCCCATGGCACCTGCCCCAGCATCTTTTGGGGTGCTGCTTTTGGGGAGCACCGTCTCCTTCGAGTTTCTGCTTTGCTCTGAACTGGGGATGGTGGGGCACAGGCTTGCAGTTCAGCTGGGACCTGTGCTGTCGGCTTTCTGAGGCCGCCTGAGCCAGACCCACAGCCAGAGGCTCTCATCAGTGGGTACCTTGCCTAAGAACCTGCTACATTCGCTGCTTTTGTTGAGCCCCCACTGGTTTTTCTCTCCTCTCACACACTGCAGCGCACGCTAGTCTTACTTGTATCTCAGGGGTAACATTGTCCCTGTAAAGAGCTCCTGCCCCTTGTCCCCACTCAGATTTGCTCTCTTCTGAACACGTCCCTCTGTTTTTCTTCAATGTCTTCAAAAATGATGAGGACGTCAGTGGAATCCTGCACCAAGGCCAAAGTGACGCCAGAGTTCTGGGGCAGTTGCTGTGGGCAGATTTCTCCTTCATCCTGTTGGTGAATCAGCTTATGAAGAACTCTCAGGGAGTCTAAGTTCGGGCCAAAGTGCTGCCTGCACAGCACTGTGGGAGCCATCTGAATGCACACTTTGACCCTCATGTGACCACACAACAACCAGGAAAGTCACAGGCTTCGTCCTGAAGGCACCTGAGCTCCCCCACACTGCTCTCTCAATTCCCTTCCTCGAAGGAAGGCGCTGAGCAAAGGGAATCAGAGCAGTGGCAGCACATCCCTTGGGCATGCTGCCCCAGCTGCCTTGAGACCAATGACAGTGGGAGCCTGGCCAATTTGTGGGGGTCGTGCTCTGAGCATGGGGGAGCAGGCTGGGGACAGCATAAAGCGCAGAGGGACATCAGAGCTCCATGGGGACTGGGACATCTCCAGGCTGCCTGGCTTCATGGGCACCGTGGCTATATCTCTCCAGGAAGAGGGTGATGATGCGGGGAGACAGCAGCAGGAGCAGGCTGAGGGCAGAGCGCAGGATCCAGACCTCCAGGGGCATGGCTGACCCTGGGAGAGAGGAGGAACACAGTGTGGCCAAGGCAAGCCTTGGAGGACGGCTGTGCTGGGAAGGGCTGATGAGCAATGTCTCACCTCTGGAAGGGAGCTGGGCCTTGTGTGAGGGGCTGCTGCCTGTGGGAGACATGAACATGCTGTGAGTTTCTGGAGCTCTTTGCTGGGACAATCCCAGATGCTCGTGTCTTGCTTCCTTGAATACATGGTGAGCATGAACGACCGAGCTCATGTAAATTCCCAGACATAGGTTAGTAAAAGTGTGAGGGAGAGCTTGGAGCAGTAGTGGTACAGGCCAGGGCCTACTGATATCCCCAGCCCTTGATTTTTTTTACATGGCCACTGCAGAGCCCCATGTCTCAGCACAGGTGCTACTACAGGAACAGGGGAACTCTTGAGGCAGTTCTCTATCCAGGGTCTCCTGTGGAGTAGGGGGAACACTCCTGAGGGGGAATCACACCTGAGCCATGCCCTGTATGATGAAGCACACAGCTCCAGCTTCTGCACTCTCCACGTCCCACTAACCCCACAGCCCTGATGAAGGGTCGTGTCTCACCTGGCACAGACGGGGTCCAAGGAGCACTGAAAGGAGAGCACCCAAACTGACTGAGGACTGGCCATGAGGACACTGAGCATCCCCTTCATTCCCAGGGAAGTCTGTGGTCTATCAGAGCCTGGATCAGAGATATCACCAGGACACTCATCAGCCTGCTGTGCTTCACATACTACTATCTACCGACAATATTGCAGACAGCTGTGGAGGAAGCTGCGTCCTGTACTCTGAGGGGAATGAAGAAAGCTTTCAAGGCCTTGGGACGGTTGGTGAAAGAGTCTGGAGCACAAGTCCCTTTCTCTTCTTTCCATCCATTCTGGGGTGGTGACATTGGATGGAATAGAAGGATCTGGTCCATAAATACTTGGCTCCGTGACCGGTGCTACAGGCCCAGCTTTGGGTTATTTGGTAATGGCTGGTGTTATAAGACACCAGGCCTGAGAGAAATACTTGGGAAAGGTTTATCTCACAGGGTCCAGAGTGTTCTGGGACAGCTATTAGCAGGGCTCATTTGGAGAGCTTCAAGTTATATCCGCAGAATAATGGGCTTGTAGCAGGGCTTGTAGCAGTGGGGCAGCACCCCACAGAGATATTCATCTGATTCATGTCAATATGGAACAATCCTAGGGCCACATGGTATAATGAATGTGACCTTCTGTCTTACATACACTTATATAACCACAAGTCTAAGAAAAAAACTGTGGTTAATGTTTAGAGTTCTTGTATCTTGCAAAGGAATGGTCCAGCAATTCGTGTCAATAGAGAGCTTGAAGGGAAACGTATTTGTAGGCTTTTCCTTGAAGTCTCTAATATCTCGGGGGAGGGGGTGGGAGGGTGTTCAGAATAACTGCTAACTATTATGACTATTGAATGGGACTCTATGCAAGTCTCTGCTATCTGGCCAGGAGATTAAGGAGAAGGGGAAAGCTGAAGAACAACTAAAAGACAAAGCTTGCAGGGGATGCTGTACAAGTCTCTGACATCCAGCCAAGTTGGACAAAGGAGAAGGACAAGAGGGAGGAAGACTAGGAGCCTTCAGCATGACAGACCACCAGACGGACCACCAGAGACTGATACGCATGCACCAGCTGGAGAGTTTGGATTCCGGAAACTAATTATAATAACCCTGTTTTTTCAGAAGTAGTAATGAATATGTATTAGCCTAGGAGCATAAAAATCAGCTGGCTGATGTAACTGGTGTGCGTCTTGGTGGAGCAGAGAGCCCCAGCACACTCAGCGCTGTTTGCTTACCTTTATTCCTTTAATAAATTCTAAACTATGATTATATTTCTATTTTGAAGACTGAGCCCTTTATTACAACAATAATAATAACTATAGTGATGATAATAGTACCACTGGCTGGCAGAGGGACTCAGGCTGCACAGCATTGCACAAGCAACAAGAATACAGAGGCTGAGCATGGGCAGGGGATGCAGTAGTGATGTGCCCACACGGGTGTGGAAGGGATAGAAATGGATTTTGGACAGGCTGCAGATGATTGCTAGCCTGATGGAGATCTGCAAAGCTATGAGCCAAATCTGGCAATAGGAAAAGAGGCATGAGGTCTTTGTAGGGAGAATACTGCCCTTGAGATACATGTAAAAACAGCAAGAGTGCTGCGGTGTATGAGAGGACAGAAATAACAGCGGGGGCTCAACAAAAGGCATTGGATGTAGCAAGGGCTGAGACAGGTTACACATTGATGAGAGCCTCTGGCTGTGGGCCAGGCTCAGGCGGCCACAGAAAGCCCAGAGGGCAGCTCCCATCTGCACTGCAATCCTCTGCCCACCATCCCCAGCTCACAGCAAAGCAGACACCTGAAGCAGACGCAGCTCCTCAAAAGCAGAACGCCAAAAGATGCTGGGGCAGGCGCCATGGGAAAGGCTGTCTCCTTCTGGCCCTGCCGTCCTGCTGCTGGCACTCTGTGAGTTGGGGCATTGCTGGGTGTGGGGGCTGAGGGCTGGAGGGCTGCTGCTGGGAGCAGGACAGGGCTCTGGTGAGCACAGGAGATGATAGGGGCAGTGTGTGCAGGGCAGGTGTGCAGCACTGTGGGGCAGAAAATCTGTAGGTCATGACCCCTCTAAGCAAAGCCCTATCTTCCCCTTGCTGCAAATACTGGAGTGACCACCCAGGACATCTGCAGCTCTCCAGGATTTCGGGAGCATGGAGGTGGGTCACGAAAATGACCGTGTCCTGGGGAAATAGATGGGAAGAGAGAAGGGGATTATTCCCTCGCAGTTCCCCCTGTGAAACCCTGGGAGAGCAGATTTTTCCAGCCTTGGCATGCAGTTGGTTTTGCCACCTGGCCATCACTAATGCTTGCCTGAGGAATCCGTGTGCCTTCCCTCCAGGTAACAACCAGGCTCCAGTCCTGTACCTCAATGCTTCCAGAGCCCAGGAGGGGGAAATAGTGCTGCTTCAATGTAACATTGATGAGCAGTTTCCTGCTACGCGAGTTGTCTTCTGCAAGAATGGGCTGGAGGAGTTCATCCTGAAAGCCCAGCAGGGCAGGCTCATCTACACCCTGGTCATGAACATCACCTCGAGAAGTGCTGGGACGTACACGTGTGGGTACCAGCAAAAGAACAAGGAAAACTGGGTGAGGAACTCTGCTCTCAGTGCTCCCTGGACCTTGTCTGTGGCAGGTGAGAAACCGCCCCATGGTGGTGAGGGTGAAAGGTTTTGGAAAACTGCTGAGGCTGGTGCTGTGTGCAGCAGCAGGCAGGGCATGGACTGGGGTGGTTCCCCCTCGGGAGTGTTCCCTCTCCTCAGAGGCAGCCCCTACAGAGAGAAAGCTGCTCTCAAGAGCTGTCCCCATAACTGCAGCAGCAGCTCAGCTGAGGCATGGGGCTGTGCAGTTCCCATGCAGAGAGAGCAAGAGCTGGGGATGTTGATGGACCCTGGGTTGAGCCCAGGATGTTCCAAGATCTGCCCTGTACATTGATGAGCCTATGGCAGGGGAAGTGCTGTGATTGTCATGAGACAGGCTATAGCCTGTACATCAGCAACAGTGTGGGATGGTTCCAGAAGGGAGAGCACAGTGGTGCTGGTTTGAGACACAGAAAGGTGCCTGCTCAGCAAGAACAAACAGGAAGAAAAAGGACTCGGGTGTGGCAGTGTGCCAGGTCTTGATCCCACTAAGAAAAACCCCTTTTGCCTCAAGGTGCAGGTACTGGTGAGACCACCACTGATATCCACAGCTCCACAGGTGAGGATAAGCATGAGGGTGTGCCAGCTGCACGGGCACATCCCGCTCCCTGCCTCTCCCCACCACACCACACTGCCCTCACACCCTCTGTCCCCCTGTTCCCCATGCCCGGCTCCCGCACACCCTCCCCACAGCCATGGTGCTTGCAGTGGTGCCTCTCATCCTCATCCTCCTGGCTGCAGGCAGCTGGTTTGCC